GGGGCGGCAGGAGCCCCGGTTGGGTGGGTTTTTGGTTTCTGTACCTTGAGCCAAGGGGTCAGCGTTTGGGTTACAGCGCCTGTTCTGCGCGGTCAGTTCGGGAATGGGTTTGTTTCTGCTTGGAAACTCTTTGTTTTCCGTTTGCTGCCCCCCCCGGGGCAGCGGGTTTGGGGCGGCAGGAGCCCCGGTTGGGTGGGTTTTTGGTTTCTGTACCTTGAGCCAAGGGGTCAGCGTTTGGGTTACAGCGCCTGTTCTGCGCGGTCAGTTCGGGAATGGGTTTGTTTCTGCTTGGAAACTCTTTGTTTTCCGTTGGAAACTGTGTGTGGGTGTTGTGCAAACCCTCCCCAGCAGCGCCACGACAGCTCAGGTATCCAGTCTGGCCCAATTTCATGTCTTTTGTCCGAAACTGCACTCTTAAGATTGGCCAGCTTGGTGGAGCCCGGTTTTATTAAGGCCCCTGTCTTTAGAAAAGCTGTGTGGGGCTGGGTGATAAGCGAAGATAAGGGGTAAGGCAGGTGGGTGGATGAGGAAGGGAAAAGCATCAGGCCTTGTGATGTGGGTTTGTTGACGGTATCTCCTGGTTACAGGACACTCCAGCCGAGGTTTGTGCCTCTTAAGGGAGCATCTATTGCTCAGCTGCAAAAGCAGGTTCCCAGTTTGGGGGACACAGTTTGTAGAGCTGTGCAGGATGGGTCAGGACACTTGGTTTCTAGCAGTATGCTCGCTGTTGTAACAACTCGTCAGTTACGTGCAGGGTGCACCGCGCAGAAAGCTTCACTGTGCACATCCTCTGCGTGACATTCAAACAATTAAGTGGTGTTAGTAGTAATTTGTAGTGTGCTATTGAAGTACCAGTTGCCTTCCTGTTGTTTATTCACTTTGTTTATGTTTATTGTAGCCACTGATGCAGTTTGAACTCATAGGAAAATAAAGAAAAAGGATTGCAGATGTGAAAGGAAGGGAGAGCGTGTGAAAGAGATGAGAGAGGTTGATACTGAGGTCCTTTTTCTTGGCACTGCCCTTGCAAATCTGTTTTGCATGTAGTTAAGGAAATGAGCTTATTACTTCAGATAAGATTAGTTTCCAGAACAGTGTAGTAATAGGCTTCTGTTACCTCACAAGGAGAGATTTTGACTGCTGAACTGGAAATAGTGCCTGGGTTAAAAGGAACGTCTCCATCTGTGAGCAGCTGTCCCAGGGAAGCACCAGTCAGTCAGTCAGCCAGAACTGCCCAGGCCCAGCTGAGTTTCATCCCCAACAGCCTGCACAGGTGCAGAAGTTGCCTCTTCTCTGCCAAGTGCAGTTGGTCTCTGTTTATAATTTAATAAAGCTCAGCTTTTGTTTTATTGTTCCAGGTGTTATCCCCAGTGTGGTGCTGCAACTTCAGGCTTACATAACCTCCTGATTTTAAAATGTATCTAACATGAAGTACAGTTCTCAAAAATAATAAATGTATTGTTCTAAGATGCTGCTTTTCAACTGACCAGAAACATACACAGGAGGAAGAAGTAACACTGAACTTTTACTATAACTTCATGAAAGGTTTTAGCTGGGCCATGGAGCCTGAAACTTTGGAGTTTAAGCTGGAATCATACAAGAATTTACCAAGTGAGATGCATCTGAGTGAAAATCACTTGTCTATGTGGTGTTAGCAGCATCAGCCTTTGTAGTGCTTACATGCTGTAATTTCCAGGCTGTAGATACACTTTTTGTTCCCTTTAGTGATCCCTGGAAACACCTGAATGTCAGGTCAAGGTCAGATTAACTACTAATTAGATAACATTTTTTAACTGCAGACCTTTTTTAACAACAAATGTCTAAACTGTTTGTCTGCATTCAGGACTTAATTTTGAAAATAACTTACAATGTTTAACAACTCAAGGGCACAAGTTCTGTGTGCAGAACCCTTATAGAGCCACCTTTCTTTTTGCCCATCACTTTTATGCAAAGTGTGGAGAAATCATGTCTGTCTCATTAGAAGTATCTTCCCTCCCACCCTGTTTGGGAAAGGTTAGATTGGAAGTCAGATGTGATGAATAGCTATTGAACTCCACCTGTTGCTGTCCTATGAAATCTGGGATTTGAACGAAGAGCTTAAGATCTTGCATCCTCTACTGGAGAGACTTTGACTTGTTTTATATATATATATACATGTAATTTTTGTCAAGGATGACATACTCCTTTTGTGGTTATGATTTTAAGTTTCAGTCATCAGCGATGTCAAGGTGCTAGGTTTAATTCCTTGGACACCTTGTCTTCCAGACAGATTCTCTGTTGACTTTCCATTGTTTTATTGCCCTTCCATGAACCTGTAGTGTTTCTTTCAAGGCTTGACAACACCAGACTGTCCTTCAAATTATTTAAAAAAAAACCAGAACAAACCAAGAACAAAACCCCACAGTTTTAGATGCAGGTAAGAGTGAATGACATATATGTAGTGGAGGGTGAATGACCAATAAGAGTTGGCAGAGAAATTGAACTGAGGAAAAAAGGACAATTTCACAAGGTGTGAAGTATTATTTTATGGCAGGTGAGATGTATTGTCACATCTTAGGCACACTGCATTCAACCAGGTATTACAATCTACATTAAAACTATGGAATCTTGTTTTGCTTATGATGTGTTTTTAGGCAACTTATTTTATGAGTGCTCTACTTTTGAACTCGAAGGGCCCAGAGAGAAACTTTGTCATGTGTGAGATACCAATGGAATACAATTCATATTTGTGTGTTGATAACCAAACCTACCTGAAGTTTAGGGTATCAGAACAGGTTTGATGGAAGTTCGCATGTTCTGTAGTAGTGCTGGTGTGCTTCCCTCCTCTTGGCTTCTGCAGGGACTTTTTCCATCTGCTCTTCATCCTGTGAAGAGCGAGGGGACACTTGCTGTGTGTGAGCTGCTTATCAGCTCAGGGCTGCAGTTACAGGCAGCAGGCACGTCAGTGGGGTGGATTGGGGTCTGCTTCCTGGCAACTGGAAAACTGCTCCTGAACTGGGAAGGCTGCTTTGCTCTGGCGGGGGTTAAGCTCATGCATAGGGATGTGTTAAAAAAAAACCACCCTTGTTTAAAAATTAATCTAGCGTTATGTTTGTAACCTTGTTTCTCTTTTACTCAAAGGGAAAAGAAACAAACAACTAAAATGCAGATTTGGCACAGGAGGAGACAGTACAAAGCCAAGAGATCAAAGTGGCCACGTGGGGTGGAAACTAATTTTCATGGGACTGGAGATAAGGGGTGGGAAAACACAAAAACTGCTCAGGGAACTTTCAAGGGATGATTGGGGGCTGAGGAATGAGCAACCTGAAGCTTTTCTTCATGGGGGCATGAGATGTCTCAGGAAAGGTTGCCGTGCTCTGGAGAGCAGCAGGGTGTGTGAGGGGTCTGGAGTGCCAGGAAACAGATAGGAAGGAAAATGAGGTGCTGTAAGGTCCAAGTAAACATACTGGGGAGATGACTGTTATTGTTACGAAGTGGCTTTTTGCAGAATAGCAAAGAAGAAAATTAGACTGGAGGGGAAGGGAGGAAACCAAACTTTTTGTGGGAAGTCACCTGTAGCCTTGGACCACAGGCACCAGTACTGGTCATATCTTGTGCTTAGGACAGAAGAATATTTTGCTTCTCTTTTGGTCTCAGCTGAAAATGTTTTGTTCTTGTCCAAATCAGACAATGCAAAGAATTAAATAGTTAATAATGGAGAGCAACTTCACCAGTGTTTTCCTTGCAGGCCTTGGGATTGCTGGTGGGGTTCTGCAGGTTCTTGGAAACAGGTTGAGCATTTAGAAAGAGGAGGGAAGAGAGGGGAAACTAAACAGGAAAGCACAAAAGCCAGGTAGAGTCTTTTAGAAGTAGTGAATAAATAAGGTAAAGGTCAGTTGTGTAGTTCCTGGCAGAGAGTAAACACAGATGGGAGTGAAAGGTGGCTGCACAGGATGGAATGTTTTTGGAAAAGATGAGGAAAGAGAAAAAGCAATATGGACATGCAGAAGCATGGGAGAACATTGAAGGCAGCTGGGAAGACAAAATAACTGAATCACCCAACCTACCTGTGAGATGGGAAGAAGAGTGAAGGAAGTGAGAGTTTGTGAGGAATGGGAGACTGCTCAGTTGGGTCCTACTAACATAAAGAATTTGAATGAAGAACCACGTGGAATGATTTAAAAACAACGAGTTTTAAAAATTTCAGAGCCATTTTACACAGCTGGGAATAGAACCTGGTGACCTTCTGTGTGAAATCTCTCTGTCTCAGGGATCCTTTTGCTGCACACCATGAACACATGCGGCAGATGATGAGAAGCTTCTGTGATCCTTTTGGCCGAGACCCGTTTCGCAGCATAACAGATGGTGGGGAGAGAGCAGATCGAAGAGCACGCCAGGACACTCAGGTTGCTCCAAGAGGAAATGGCAGAGTAAGTCTTTTCTTAATCTCTAGGGATGGCTACATGGAATTTACACTTAGTGGTACTCTAGCTGGCTTCACATTTCCATTTCTGTTAAATTTGGTCCTGTGGAAGCAGGGGCTTGGCTCAGGTACTGCAACCTTGTTCAGACCATGTAATTGCTGAGAAAATGTCAATAGTATCTCTCTTGGTTCCTTAGTGGCCTCTTGTTTAAGCATTTATTACTGACAAATTTGTTTCTCTTAGGACTGGTAACAAATTAGTATGTTAGTGAATATACAAAATGGATAAATGTTTAGTTTGTTTCATTAAAAATAAATATTACATCTTAAACGTTTCTCTTGCAGAACAGTGTTAAAAATCTCCAGACATAGCCTTCTCTGAACATTTATTTCCTTTTTATGCTAACTTTACTTTAAAAGGTACCTTGATATGTTTATGCCTTCACTCTGCACTTTAGTACCTCGTTTCTAGTTATTTATGTTAGTTTGATTTAACACAAACCTTTGTTTCAGCCACCTGAACAGTATCTACACATATTTAAAACCCTGCTTCCACTTGGCAGCTGTGAGGTTTTGCATGCTGTATTTGCTCTGATTCTTAATGTTTCCTCCAGATAGAAGACTGAGAATTGAAGATCAGGGAAATTGATGTGAAAGCTTGTATTTCTGTGAATTACCACCTGAAACTGAGAAGTTGGCAATGAACTATGTTTTCCATCAAGTATCTTTTAAACTCTTTGGGCACGCAGGACAATTATATCTTATGCTTCTGTAGCTAAACCTTATCTAATTGCTGTGTTTAGAAAGGATATATGCTTGAAGGTGGTTCCTTTCCCTGCACCAGGCTAAGTATTTTGCAGCTGAATGATCTTTTACTTTAACAAATCACATGTGATTTGTTTTCCAACTGTTTTTTAAAATCAAAAGGGCTTGTGGAACTCGGCCAGATTTGGTGGTGGTTGTTCAAACCTAGATAGTTAGAGCTTAATAAAGAGAGCTGAAACAGGGACTATCACCTACAAGTCAAAAGGGTAACTGTCAGATTCTTTCCTCTGTGCTCATACATTGCCAGTTAGTTTCAAATATAGATGTTGCTGTATCTAATTGGGGCATGATCTTTCCTCTGCTGAAGTAGGTTCTTAGGCCTTGGTTCAGTAGATGCATCAAACCAGATCAGACTTCTATTTCTTTTAGAAAAAGAAAATGTTAAACCTTACCCTGATATCTTGGGGGGTTGTATCCCTTGTTCTTGGCAGGGAGGAATCAACGTGAGGCATAGAAAACCTTTCTCTGTGTTACAGAAAGGAGTGAAAGATGTTAGAGTGCTGTGCTATTTTGATAAGCACAAAAGAGTTCCACTATCTTTTGATGTGCCTCATGTTTCACCTGAGAGCTGTCAGGTGTTGCAGGAGTCTCAGCATTTACTGCTTGAGCCTTGTAGCCTCAAACTGCTTTTACTTGTTTCCCTCCAGAAATGATTCAAACACTTAAAACAATTGGATTGTAATGTAGGAAAAAAATTGATCTCTTTACTACAATGTACATACACTTTGTTAAAATTGTCCATAGTGATCCTATAATTCTATGTTGAAGGAAACTATGGCATGTCTAAAACTGCTTTACAAGGGGTGGAATTTGCTGCAACAACTCAGTGTATTAGTATAGCATTCAAATGTGAAAGTGCTTTTCCTTTCTCAGCCAGGTTTGCAGTGTCAGTTTTTAGAGTCTTGAAGGGAGGGAAGGAAGAGGAAAGATTTATGAGCAGGAGGAAAAGGGGAAAGCATCTCAAGAGAGAGTGTAGTTTTGTTAGGACATCTGGTTGTTCTGCATGTTAGGCAACTATTTACCAGCTTTAGTATGTATTATAAAACAGAGTTTATAAACTTTTAGCAACTAACAGTTGTATTTCTGAAGATGCCCTTCTGCACTTGATATACATAGAAGAATATATATTATATTCTTCTCTGTCACTTCATATTAAAGGGAGCTGCAGTCTGAAAGAGTTCATAAAAGGATGAAAGAATTGGATAATTCCTTCCTTTTGTACTTAAAGTGATTGTAAAGTGTTTGGTAATTCTGTCCTAACCAGTCTTTAGGTCAGCTTTTATATAACTTTTCAGTCTTAGTTTCCTGGAAACATGGATGTGTTTTCCAGCATTGCCTGTCATATAGGGATATTCAATATCAGCTGGTCATACAGGAACTGCATTTGCTGGTGTTTATAGCTACATCTATTTATACAACTGCAGAAGAATACAGTTTGCTCATGGGGGATTTGTCTTCAAGTGGTTCTGTGTATGATGATAGATCTGCCTAGAACTTCTTTGCAATGACCTTTGAAACTGCTGACAAGTTAGATTTCATTTTGGTTATTGCAAGAGGTATATGGATATTTTAGAGAAACATATTTTATATTTACATTAAGCTTTTGTGCTTGGGAACAGGTCAGCTGTGCCACTTAATTTTTAACGGCTACAATTGTGTGCCAGCTTTCTGAAATGTTATTACAGAAATTTACATTCAAGGGGCCTCTTCATTGTTGATGTTAATCAGCCTCCAGTGATGGGGCTGCGTGGCCTGAGTGGAATGCAGTGTTTTCAGAGGGGGGGAGACTTAAATAATTTTAGTACAGAGATTGCTATGGTATGCAAATGTTTCTCAGCTTCCAGCTCTAAGTGCTTCTAGTACAGACATATGGATATGACTTATTAAAAGTGAGGACAGCTATTGCTTTCCAATGCCATTAGTAGAAATATGTTCCTTCTATACACCCAGAGACTGCTTCATATTATATTGTTGTAGCACCTTGAGTGGCTCTCTTTTTCTAGTGGGGAATGTTTAATATCACCTGCTGGATATGAAAGTTACTTCTGCCACATCTGGTCACAGGTACAATAACTAAAAGACACTGATCCTTTTTTTTCCAGGCAATGAGCTGTTCCCTCATGCCCTTTGCAGGCTTTGGTAGAGTGGTTAGTATCCCAGGAGCAATAATCCTTGTAGCTCTGTCTGATGTGTGCATACTGTCTGCATGACTCAAGCATGGACAAAAGCTGGTCTCAGTGTGCTTGCAAACTGCTTTTGTTGATGTTTAGATCTATGGAACAATATCATTCAAGAAAGAAATTTAATTACTATTTTCCCTGACTAAATGGCAATGCAAGGGTAGGCTAAATATGCTGATACCAAGATAGGAAAAGTTGCTACTTAGCAGCTGGCTTTTCTGCTCAGGGATGTATGTGTTGGTGCTTGATCCCTGATGGATATGAATGGAATAATCCCTGGAGAAAGGCTCCAAACTTTGAATGCTGCCTGTAGATAGACACTGGTAGCTTGGAGCATGTTTGAGGGTGTGATCCTGGTCACAGCTAAGACAGTTCAGCTTCTGGAGACAGAATTTCCACTAGACCTGGGCTTGGAATAGTTTTCAGCTGTAGTCTGTTGGGGATCTGGAATATATTGTAAAGGACCTGTAAAAAGTACCTGAGGAAAAGCTTGTTATGTTGCTCTTGGAGATTTTTGATTCATTTGGAAGGCTTCAAAGAGTCCTCAGGTTGAAAACTAGCAGCCTAGAGAATGGCTCTGACTTGCAGAGCAGGTAGAAATAAACATGAGTCTTTGCATTTTTAAATCCAAAAGTGTTACTTGTTTAATTATCTTTTGCAGAAGCACTAATTGGCAGCCTGCTGTATGCAAAAAGTGTATTAGTTAATCAATGTTGCTCCTCTATAAACTGCACAGGCTATGCTCTTGCTCCCCCTGCCCCAGTCTATGGCACATAATTCCATCAGTACAGCTGATTACTGTGGAATGTCATTGGTCAGTGTCCAGATCTCTAACTGCAGAAGGCAGTTTTCTGGAGTTACTTAACCTTGCAATGATTTGATGCCCTAAATAGTCTATAATTATTGCCCAGAGATGTTGATAGCCCTTCAGGTTTCAGTGTTCTTGGTACTCAAGAAAAAAATCAGATTTTTTTTATACCTGAGTTTTACTTAGGTTGGTGCTTAAAATTCAGCTTTTATTTTTCAACCTTTAAATACATAGCTACTTAAATCTAATTCTGTATTTCTAGTGGAGGACCTCGGGGTGTACTGTGATTGGCATCCTGCTGTCTCACAGCACCTGCCTCTTGCCAAAGCTGCTGGGTTTGCCAGAGCTCCTGGGAGCTGTTTTCCCTGCTCCTCTCAGACCTGTGGACCGTGGTGGTGGTGGCACAGTGGCTTCCTGGGAAGCAGCCAGGCATGTGCATGGCTAGGAGCTCTTCACCAGCACGGGTGTGGGGTTTGCTCTTCACCAGAGCTGCTGGTGTCAGAAACTAGGCAGCCCAGTGTTTTGTTTGAACGGGTCCTGAGTAAAAGTTCCTAGTAGGAGAGGAGAGGCATGGTGGAAACCATCTGTGCCATCACCACCTGCGGCACTGGAGAGCAGCCCAGAGGAGGATGCTCATTTGGGAAACCATCACTGTCTTCCCAGATGGTCACTTAGAGTTCACCCCTTCCCTACTTGCTGTCTCTTTTTTTTGTTTCATTATTTCCCAGAGGTAGCTCCCATCAGTGTGGTCATCAGCTACAGAGCCTTTTAATAAAATCCTGTGCCTGTAAAGCTGTTTTGCTATCAGTTCTTTGTGCAACTCTGGACAATCAATGAATGTTTTGTTGAATATGTCTGTAGCATCAAGTAATTCAGCTGCCATTAAAATACCAACTTACGGTTCTCTGACTTTTCCATGCTGACTTTCTATGAGTAATGTGCAAAGGAGCATCTTTATCTGGTGTGATGCAGGTTCAATATGATTCCACATGCTTTAAGGTATTGGTGGAATAAGGGTGATTAGATCTTCAATAGTTAAGGCATGGAGGGGCATGTGCTTTACACCAGAAACTAGTTAGGTTAGAAGGTACATGAAAATAGTTCTTGTAAATTGGCCACAATTCGAGCTTGTTTTGATATTTGAGTGTCAAATCTTTCCCTTCTATCTCTCTGGTATCTCCAACTTAACAATCAAACACCCCATGCTGGCTTTCAGTTTTTCATTTAAGATGATGCATTTTGGCTTTTCTATGTCTGTGAATTACAGTCTGTGAAAACCTTTCTGAAGATCTGATTTGCATTAAAAATGCATGCAAAAAAACCAGCCACAGAACTTAAAGACTCAGAAGACTCTGTTTTAATTTTTATGTCTTTTCTTTTATCAGGATGCAGATTTTGGGGAGTCTTTTTTTGCAATGGACAGAATGATGTCAAACATGAGGAACAGTATGCTGGAAATGCACAGAAAATTTGTAAGTTTTTAAAAAATATGTTCTAAAATTAATTGTATTGGGGAATGACAATTGTTTAAAATATTATGCAGAAAGTCCTGTCAAGAAAAAGGTTACTACTCTCAAGCAAAGAGTAAGAAATGTGAATTTTTAATTTTTTCTCCCCAACTACATCATGGTTATAATTCTCTGTGCTGTCAGTGATTATTTGCCAACAACAGTACTTTAAATATCTGCTTGATTCTGTAGGAGTTAGAACTGCTGTGAGTTATCTGGTTTCTGGCTGTTGCCAGAGCTGACACCTTCAGTGAAGGAGCAGTTTGAAGTGTTACTGGACACTCAAAACCAACCAAACTACCAGCACCTTGGTGCCACCTTGCATATAGACTTTCCTCTGATGTGGTTTTCAGTGCTGTCTCTTTTTCAGAGTCTTTGAAGATAACAACTATCTATCCCAATATCATATTAAGTGTTGCTGAGTATTTCCTGTGTTTTACTGGCTTTGTGAAATGGCCTGTAACTGTTGTTGCTCAAGTCCCCTTTCACCTGAACTCTGCACACACCTCGTTATATGTGCAAGACTGATGTTAGAGATTGTATTTTCATTACTAAACTCCACTGTGCCAGGGCAGGTGTTTGCAGTTGCTTATTGCTGCCCATGCTTTTTATTTGTTGTTGTCCTTCCTGGGAAGGGGGAGACCTGTGGGCAGACAAGGCAGGGACAAGAGCGAGGGCCTACCAAGTGCCAAGGTCTCTTCCCAGCAGGCCAGGCCTGTGGTGCAGGGCTGAGGGTTAATTTTTCAGAGGCAAGTTCTTTTTCATAATGATAAGATAGTTGCAGAGTGTAAGAAGTACCAGAAGTACCTATTACCCACAAGTTTTACCTTTTGTTAATAAGAAGTCTCCCTCACTCGTAGGATGACCTGTCCATCAATCCAGATGCACACACATTCAGCTCCTCCTCTGTGATGACATACTCCAAAAGAGGGGATGAGCCACCAAAAGTTTTCCAAGCTTCATCTCAGACACGCACAGCTCCAGGAGGTGTAAGTAATCCTGAGATGCAGCAGGAAAGGGGGGTGTAATTACCAGAATCTAAGTTCATCTGTACCAAACACACAGTTTCCTTCAGGTTCTTTTTACTGGAGATGGTTACTCTTGTAATTCAGAACAATACCTGTCTAAACACTGTTCTGTGTTTAAAGGCTTCTCAAAGTAAAGTGCTGTTTTCTTCCTTGTGATTTGTCTTCTTCTGAGTGTGCATCTAAGTAGTCTGCTTATCAAAGACTGGAAAGGCTGAGTGCCAGAAGAGCTGATTCTTCAAGGCAGTCTCCAGCACCGCTCTGTTCCCTGTAATTAATCCTCCTCTGGTACATTTAAAGTTCTGTCTAAAATACAAGGTGGCAAGAGGCAGTCTGTTTCTGCAAAGCATGGCTCCCAGTCAGCCCCTTGCCTCCAGCCCTTTGAAACCCTGAGGTAACGTTTCAGATGGAGCTGCCCTTTCATTGACTTCCTTGCAGCTGTTGCCTCTCATTCTACTGAGAAATCTGAATTTGAAGTTGAACCCTGCAGCAAGGTTCATGAAAGACTATCTGTGAGCAGGAAAGGCCGTTTGGCATGATTGGCTGGGGGATATGTTCAAGCTCAAGCAGACACTCAGTTATCAAAATGGTTCTAATAATATACCTATGAACACAGTGATAAGTGGTTGCCTGGGTTTCGAGCCAGTCAACAGGACAACCCAGCAGTTTGTTGTCCCTTCGTGTTGAGAATATTCACATGGGCTCTTGTTCCTTCTGTTGTCAAGGAGAATGTTGAAGACTTGTCTGCATGTAGTAAATTTAGACTGGGCTTTTTTTTTTCCCCCCCAACCGTTAATACCCACTATTTACGTTACTTAAGAAGCTTTAGGTGTTCTTGCTTAATCTTCCTGTCAGCAAAAAGAAAGTAGACTTGATCTCTGCTTTGGTGGTGTATTTTCAGCCAACACTGTAATTGAGACAACTGCAAAAGCTTATAAAGCCTCACTTATTTTCAAAAGAAAGAAATTATACCTTTGGGAAGAAGATTGGATTTTTTAAAACTTTTTAAACTTCTTTTTTTGGTTGGAAGGACACTTACTTGCTTTTTTTTTGTGCAGGTTAAGGAGACAAGAAAAGCACTTAGGGATTCTGAAAGTGGACTGGAGAAAATGGCTGTTGGTCATCATATTAATGATCGTGCTCATGTCATTAAAAAATCAAAGAACCACAAGACTGGGGATGAAGAAATGAACCAAGAATTTGTCAACCTGGATGAAAGTATGTCCCTTTGTGCTGTTCTCCAATGGGCTTTACTCTGTTGTCTCACATACCAGTTTTGAAGTTCCAGCTTGAGTTCTCTTAAAAGGGACTGTTTCTCAGACAAACTGAAAGTCTACACATTGAATTGTTGCCATAAATTTGGACAACCTAAGTAACCAGTTAGACTTGAAAATGTTGTGTTTTAAGGCTGTTGGTACTGTTGGCTTGTACAATAGCTGCTCATCTTTGACGGTGCTTTAAATGATATTTTATGGTTTCAAACAAACTTTGAACAGAATTTTGCTGTTTACTGTGTGTTTGTGGCTAATAGGAAATAGTTATTGAAGATGTGTGGTTAAAATGTGCATTTGCTTTTACAACAAAGTGACTTTCAGGTTGTTTTATATTCCAAGCATAAGCCTGTGGGCAGGAAGCTTCACTTGTCTTTACCAAGCCCTTAGAAGTAGTTTGCAGGCCATGTGGAGAGTCATGGATGGCATGTTTAAAAACACTGTTCCAAAAACCTAATTTTCATTACATGTTTTTTCCTATCTTGTTTGCACTTACTGAAAATGAGAAGTAAACTTTAACTCTTTTTCAGCTGATGCCCAGGCTTTCAATGAAGAGTGGCAGAAGGAGATTATGAGGTTCAAGCCATCAAGAACTAGAAGCACTTTAGAAGCTCCCAAGTACAGAAGTATTCATCACATACCCAAGGAAAATGAAGGAAGAAGGTAAAAATAGTTTCCTGGCAGAACAAGGTAACCCTAGAGTGAAAACTCCCTTCTGAAGCAACTTGTCCATGAACAACCAGTGTTTACTGGAGAGAAATCTGAGGAGAAATAGCAGATTTTATTCCTCCTTTTCTCCTGATGCCACAACAAACAGTGTTAAGGCAGTATTTTGTTAACTATATTTTGAAAACATTCAGTATTTTTGTCTTGGAAAATTACTGAATGGACTGATGGGCTAAAATGGTGTGTGTTTTTTCTAGAGAAATGTGCCAGTGCTTTTAGCTCCACCATGTACAAATGCTGCAGCTGCCCCTGCAGTCATTAAGTGGGGTCAGTTGCATGCAGGTGTAATCGTTAGTGAGGGCAAGGCTGATCTGTTCTCTTGGGTGAGAGGAACACCTTCCACAAAGCTGGAGACAGACACACTCCTCTCTTCAGAGTTAGATTTCAAATGAGACCAATTCTAATCCTAACTGTGCAGGAATGGGACTTTATCTGCAAATGCACAGGCTGCTCTCTGCCAAGCTCCAGGTGTTTTCCTCTCTGCTGATGCAGTGTCAGTGGAAGCTGTGACTCCTTCATCAGTTGTGTGTTTGGTAGAGAATGCTACAACCTGTGAACTACACAGAGCCCTCTACCTCTGGCACCTCTGCTGTTCTACTGTTTTTTTACAGAGATTTAGTACCTTCCATTTAATTTTTCAAACTAAGCTGTTTGTTCTGAGAGCATGAGGTAAGAAAACAGCCCGCCTCTGTGCTGAGAACAGTGAAGGAGTTCTGGAGGGACAGTCTTACAACTAAAATAACTGTACCTCCACTGAGGTGATTAACAAGCTGTGCCTTCTCTCCCTCCCATACTGTATGGCCATGATGATTTTTGTTTTCTGTTTGTTTCAGAGAGAAACCACGTGCAGCTGTGGGTTTCAGGGAGCCCAGAGAGAATCTCAGTGTGAAAGGAACCCAAGTTCGCATCAAAAGCAGCAAAAAATAAATAAAATTGCCTCCATTCTCCATGTGAATGGAGTTTCTTCACTGAAGATAATGGTGCTGCATTGCTTATGTTCATATAAGTATACACATATTGACCAATCTCTGTTTTTTGTTGCAGTAAGTATTAGTGTGCCTTGCTCCTCTGATCTATTGACAACCAAATGTTCAAAACTTCAGATCCTTGGTTAAACCATCTAGTTTTGGTACATTAAAAAAAACCCTAAAAGCACTTTAATAGATTAACACTAATTCTGTTTAAAAAAAATAATAATACTTTTGACTTGCCAGTTTATTTCTACTACAACTGCACCAATCTCTCACATTTTATTAAGCCTGGTAATTAAGCTACTTTTTTCCACACTCTATGACTTGCATAGAAAATAAATTATCTTTATTTTGTGGGGCTGAAATAATTATTGGCTTTCTAGGTGATAGAGCAATTTGAATACACTGTAGCCACTATATATAAATGTACAAAGTGTTGTAAATCATTAGAGAATCCCCAGATTCACTTGGATTTAACAGGAAAAAAAAAGTGAGAGGAATACTGAAATGAGAAATACTTCAAGTAACTTTTAGTTTATCAGTGTTCTTATGTCCATAAGATGTTCTTGCATCTCATTTTCTGTGCCTAGACTGAGTTTTGTATCTCTGATCCTTGATATGTGTCCTTTTGAGGTGGCCTGTTCATTTGCATTCTGTAAGATTCTCAATAGTAGCTTTTGTTATTGTTCTGCAATAATACCCCTCTGTCCTCACAAATGCAGCTGTTAACTGTTAGTTACTCATGAGACAGATGTGGGAATTGGTTGGGTAGGCAGCAGTTTAACTGGGTAATGAATGATTACACCTTTGCTTCTGTCCTAAAAAGCTGAAAGGGCTCTTCCTGCAGGAAACCATTTCCCCCTCAGTATTCCTTTGTGTCCTGTGTTAGTGGATGGAGAATGATCCTAAATCCAACAGTTGGTCTCCCTTGGTGTTGTTACTGTTGGTTAAGGAGTCTGTTGCTGTAGAGGAGAGCTAGTTGTGTGACAGCCAGCAGGAAGGGTCTTGGTGTGACAAGTGTGGAGCTGGGATGGTGCTGTGTGATGCAGAATTGATCCCCATGTGGTAGCACAGATAATTTCTGTAGACTACATTACAGCATTAGCACTGTAGCAGATATTTCAAGGCTAAAACATACAGCCTTAAAAATGAGTATTATTTATATGATAAAATAGGTTTAGTAAGCTCAGATTAATGTTTGGCCAAAAAGGAAGCGGCCTTTAAATCATATTTAATCTTTCTGCAGATTCCCCAGATTCTTTAATTCTATGTTTATTCATGTGCAAAAAGAATAAAAAATACTTATGTTGAACTTTGGCAAGGGAAAGATAAGTGTTTATTTGTTGGGATAACACAACGGGCTCCTCCTGTTATTGGAGCAAATGTGTAGTGCCCAGAAGTTTATGCTATGGAACCATTCTTCAAAAAGTCAAGGTAAGTGGGTGGGTAAGGGGTTGAAACAGAGCCAAGTCTGGCAAAGGGTGTCTGCCAGAGCCCTGAACCTCCAGGGTGCTTTTACTCTCCTTAAAAAGTAAGGGTACAACTCTAGAGCCTGGTCTTCCCTATCCTGAAGACGAACATCAATTTTGCAGTTAATGTATTGAGACTAAGGCTGTGGAGGCATTTCCCAGGTATGTCACTTAAATTTCCCAGTAATAAATAGCAGAAAAGTTTTTGATTTTCAGAATAAATCTTTGATTTGAGAGATGCTATTATCTAGCAGAAAATAGCATTGATCTGACAACTTGTATTTTACTGAGGTAAAAAAAACACCTGATGCATATATGTAATAAGTAAACCAAGTACATACTATGGGTTTAAAATTATAGTGGAAAGAGGCTAATATTCACCACAAGTTACTTTGTTATGCAAAACAGTGTTCTAAAGTGTAATACAAAATAAGTTGTTCTGTGTAGAAATATCTGAAACAGTAGTTCTTTAATAAAGCTATTTATTATTTACAGTTTGGCTGGCTTTACACCACACAGTTCCTTGTGCATGGCTGGCTGGGGCTGCTGTGAAGCATCCTGAGGTGTGACCCCACCAGCAGAGCAGCCTGGGGACACAGCTGCCCTCCCTCTGCAGGGGGAAATCCTGTCTGCACCACACACAGCTGGCTAGGAGGAAACCAGGCTGTTCTCTGCTTCAGAGCTGCTCCTGGAGTCTTCTCTGGTAGGATAATCATAGCATGGTTAGAGTTGGAAGAGACCTTAAAGATCATCAAGATCCAGCCCTCCTGCATGGGCAGGGACACCTCCCACTAGACCAGGTTGCTCCAAGCTCCATCCAACCTGGCCTTGGTTACACCAGAACAGTCTTGCCTGGCACTGGAATTTGGTTGGTTGGTTGCCTTTAAATAGATTTGAGAATGCAGGTACATGCTGCAGCTGCCTTGAGCTACGACCTGACTCTTAGCGTGTGAACTGTTGGGCAGCTGTCAGCAGGGAGAAGTTGTTCTTCACTGGGGTGTTCAAAAGAGGGAAATCACAGAGCCCCAGATCCATGGGGATGTTCTGTGTGTGGCTCTGATGCTGACAGAATCGAAACGTCCTCGTAGCACAACACTCAAAGCCTTACAAATGGCTCCCTGTGCTCCACACAGCAGGAGTTCCCTTTTTCAGGCTGTACCCCGTGCTTGTTCTCTGGCCCTTTGGTTGCTCCTAATGAATGAGCCTGCTGCTGATCCTGCAGTGACCCCGCAGCTCGTGCCACCTTTCTCAGAGGGGCTGTCCTTGTAACATCAGCTCACCTGTCCCTGCAGCTCCAGCGTGGCTTTGGTGGCTCAGTGTCCCCCACGTCCCTCCAGCCACACAAATCCTGGTCGCCGTGTCAAGGTCACTAATTAACTGGGGTCAGGCCCAAGGAATCCTTAGGGATTTTCTCTCCCTGGGAGCACTGGGTGACAACTGCTTGAATGAGCCAGCAGGGTGGCTTGGAAGGCCCCTGTCATCCTGGCTTGTGTCAGGAATGGTGTGTCCAGCAGGAGCAGGGAGGTGATTGTCCCCGTGCCCAGCACTGGTGGGGCTGCAGCTCCAGTGCTGGGGGCAGCAGGGAGGGTCTGCAGGTGCTGGGGCAGGTCCAGGGGAGACAACCAGGGGAAGGAGCAGAGAGGAAGTCTTGCAGAGATGGGCTGAGGGAGCTGGGGCTGTTGAGTCTGGGGGGGCTGTTGAGCCTGGAGGAGCCTGGGGGGGCTGTTGGGCCTGGGGGGGGCTGTTGAGTC